CAGAGGGGAAGTAAAGAAGTAGGACCTACCAGTGACACCCTCCAACCACCCACACAGACAGAAACAACAGAGGGAAAGTAAAGAAGTTGAACCTACCAGTGACACCTTCCAACCACCCACACAGACCCAAAAAACAACAACCGAAAACAAACCAACAAACAAAAACTACGCAAAGAAAATAAAGAAATGAAATCTACTGGTGACAACCACCAACCACCCACTGTGAGAGATTTGACGGGTGTTAGTTTTAGTAAGAGTTTTACAGCATTTATCGCAACTCAATTAGAATATAGATCTGAAAAGTGTAAGTCACAAGAGAGTAACAAACGCCCCTAAAAATATGGAGAGGTAAATGACGTTACATGTAGTTGTAGCTGTTTGATAGGACAGAAGTAGAAGGAGCAAAGCGCACCAGAGCACCCGCTAACCACCCACAGATATATTAAATTAAATATGTACAAAAATATGAATAGATCTAGGCGTATAAATTTCATGAACAAAAATATGTCGTGCTGTAAACAATATTATGACGTAGCAAATCCCCTATCTAATTAATAATGACTGGACCACGTGACCTGAGTGACCAATCGCATCCACCATCACGCACTCTCCCGCCGTCCGTCTCCGATACGTGTTTTTGAAGAGGAAGCAGTGTGGGTGTACCGTAGGCTTGAATTGATCCCAAACCTGCCACCACCAGTGTAGATAGTGTGCTGTTGTGAAGTGCCGGCGGGCGATCGACCACCAAAGGTGTAGGCTACATCCATGGAGGCCCCAGAGTGGGGGGGGGGGGGAGGGACATATTTGTTTGTGAACTCATTCTCTCAAGACTCACTGGTGAACATTAATGGTGAAATGGTATGGATTTAACAACGCCCCTATCAACACTATGGAATATTGTAACAACAGGCAAGTTTGATGGAAAGAGAGGCTGAGGCAGACAGAGCGAAAAGATACTGGACAAGATGACAACATGGCTAGGAGCAGCAAAAACACTAGACGCCATTGCTGCAAGGCAAGGAGTGAAGTGGAGGTCCTTGATCGCCCACGCCAGTCGGCAAGGCAAGACAGAGTGAAGTGGAGGTCCATGATCGCCCACGCCAGTCGGCAAGGCAAGACAGAGTGAAGTGGAGGTCCATGATCGCCCACGCCAGTCGGCAAGGCACCGGATGGTGATCAACACTGTTAGGTTATTTAAGGGGCGGGACCTCCGAGTTCAACGTCCATCTCCAAAACGACAGAGCCAAGTGGGAAGTTCGTGTAAAGTAAAATGTCTTTCCCAAGGACACAACGTCGGACCGAGCTGAGGCTCGAACCCCCGAACCTGCAATCTCACGACTACGAGTCCGGTAGCCTAATACGGGGTGCCCACTACGGATGGGATCGGCCGATCAGACCGATCGCCCGACTCGATCGCCTCAAATTTCAGGCGATCGAGTCGGGC